AATAGGACTGACACGGGGTGGTGGTGGGGAGAATAGGAAAAGAGTGCATAGATTATGAACACAACACTGGAACAGATGAGGGGGGAAATGGACCGAAAGGAATTCTTTGTATGACAATAATCTGGAACAAGAAATGCATTACAAAGTGGACTATGGGAGTAGGGAGGAAGGGTAAGGGAAGAAAATATGCAACAATGAATGAATAAAAAATAAAAACAAAACAACAACATATGGGGGAAATGTCTTATATCACTAAAAAAATCACACCAAATTCAAGTCCTAGTCTTCAGTATGGATTAAAACTCAACATCAAAACAAACAAACAAACAAACAAACAAAACTTAATATCAAGAAAACAAATTGTCCCAATTGGAACAGCATCATATCATATAGAAGCAAGATTGAAATTGTCAAGAATTTTATTTTACTTGGCTACTTGATTAACACCCATGGAACAAGAGTCAAAAAATCCAATGAGATTTTGCATTGGGCACCTCTTCTGACAAGTATCTTTTCAAAGTGATAAAGGGCAAGATTGTCACTTAAAGAGTATGATGTATCTGACCCAATCCATGCTATTTTAAATTGCTTCATAAGCGTGTGAAAGTTGGAGCAAACAACAAATGCTGGTGAGTTTGTGGAGAAACTGGAACATTTACTCACCATTGGTTGTTGTTGTTGTTGTTATGTGCCATCGAGTCATTTCCGACTCATAGCGACCCTATGCACAACAGCTCTAAACCCTGCTCTATCCTGCGCCAACCACACCGCCTCTGACACACCCATCCCGATTACCCCAGTCACCGAATCAATCCATCTCATAGAGGGTCTTCCCCTCCTGCACTGTCCCTCCACCCTCCCAAGCATGATGTCCCTCTCCAAGGACCCGTCCCTCCTGGCAACATGTCCAAAGTATGTCAGACGAAGCCCCAGAATCCTTGCCTCCAAGGAGTAGCTTGGTTTAATCCTCTCCAAGATGAATCTGTTTGTTTTCCTGGCAGTCCATGGTACATTCAGTACCCTTCTCCAGCACCACAGCTCAAAAGCATCCACTCTCCTTCTGTCCTCCCTAGTCATTGTCCAACTCTCTGATGCATAACAAGCGATAAATGTGCAACCACTCTGGAAGACAGTATGGTACTTTCTCAAAAAGTTGGAAATAGAAATACCATTTGATGCACCGATTGCACTACTGGAAATATACCTTAAAAAAACCAAAATTGCCACCCAAACAGATATCTGCACATCCAAGTTTTTGGTGCATTGTTCAAAATAGCAAAGAGATGGAATTGACCCAAGTGCCCCTCAAAAAATGAAAGGATAGAGAAGCTGTGGTATAGTCAACACAATGGAATACTATACAGCACTGAAAAACAAGGAACTCATAAAATATTATACAAAATGGGTGACCCTTGAGGACATTATGATAAGTGAATATCTCAGTCACAAAAGGACAAATACTGTATAATGCCACTGTTATAAAACAAGACTGACATGGGGGTTAGGGGAGAACTAAGAAAAGAGGGGATTAATGATGAACACTGTATTGAAATAGATGAGGGAAAGAATTGTCTAAAATAAATATATCATTAGGTCTTATTTACATGACAATGGTCTAGAATAAGAGGTGCATAGCAAAGTGGACTGGGGGCTAGGCAAGGGAGGAAATTATGCAACATACAAGAATCTTTTTAAAGAAAAAAGAACTGAGATGGGAGGTAAAGAGGGAAATGTACACCAATGAATGAATGGAAACCCAAGTTTTCTGTAAACTTTAGTCAAAAAGGAGAATTAAAAAAAAAGTTGGACAATGAATAAGGAAGAATTCTGAAGAAGAATTGATGTCTTTCAACTATGGTGTTGATAAACATTACGGAACAGTCCATGAAGTGCCAAATATCCAAAAATCTGTCTTGGAGAGGAGAGGTAATATTTCTAAACAGAGGGGGCAATTAGAACGGTAGAACTGGAAAAGGAACAAATGTAATGCACTAGATCTTAAAATATGGGTGAACATCTAAGAAAGACAATCAGGGTTGGGATGACTCAGAACCAAGAGAAGAGAGCAGATGCCCATCTGGCCATTTTATATAGCCGTACATGTATCCACAGAGAGCTCTGGTGGCTTAGTGGTAGAGTTGCACTGCCAACATCCTCCTATGTGCTTAACTATCTCTGAAAACCCTCTGGAGGATCAACTATGAGTCAATTCCAACTTGATAGTACATGACAACAACAACAACATGCATCTACCAGATACGCTGGAATGAGCAGTAGGACTAGTATTCATTGCTATGGAGTTGGAACTGACTCACAGCTGATCCTCCACTGGGTTTTCAAGGCTGGAAGTTGCACAGGAGGAATTGATCCATCTTTCTCCCTTGGAGCTGTTGGATTTGAACTTTCAAAGGGGTGAGACCTTTGGGTTAACACCTTGCATTAGCAGACAGAAATCTGAAGGCAACAGTTCTCCAGAATGTCCTTTATCTGCCTGAGCTAACTTATTAATCTTTAAACTTTAAATCTTTAAAGAGCTCTGGTAGCCTAGTGGTAAGAAACTGTGCTGCAATCCCAAAGGCACATGGTTCAAATCCAACAGCTAATCCAGGGCGAGAAGATGAGCAGTCTCCTCCTGTGTAATCAACTACCTCTGAAAATCCACTGGAGGGTCAGCAATGGGTTCTGACTCAATGATACACAACAACAACAACAAACTGGAAATAATACTAATAGGATCGTTATAGAGATCAAAAGATGTCATGGATTGGAAATTGCTTTGTAAACTGTAAAGTACCAGGCAAGTTCAAGATTTTGAAAAAAGAAAATAAGGAGTATTATTTTTTTAGACATTCAGAATAGAGAAGACACTTTTTATTCACACTGGGCATCATGTAAAAAAGCAGTTTAGGAAAGGACTACTATTAAGCTAAGTGTTTTTCAGTTCTGAAATATTATATGCACCTAAGTGGAAATAGCATTTATGAAGCAGCACCCTTTCCCTTGCATTTAACAATCAGCCTTTCCTGAGCCACTTTTTGTTTCCTCTGCAGCTTTTGAGTGTGATAAAGTGATGTTCAGATTGCAAAGCCATAGATATGGAGCAAAAATGTGTGTGATGTGGACACTTTCCTCAAAGGTTTTTATTTGGCATGAAGGTTAGGAGTGGGACCAAGAGCTTTAACAATTCTAGCAATTGTCTATAAAGTTTTGGCAGGGATGTTAAAGATCATTGCTGCAACTACTTTACATAGGAAGAAGCTGAGATACTTTTGAGGTTGCTACATAGCAATCTAGTGGCAGAACTGAAGTGAGACACTAAACCAAGCTCTTCAAGCCCTAGACAAAAGATCCATGCTATCTCCTTCACAAGAACTGAGGCAGGGACTCTGAAAATTTAGATTAGGAAATACTGGAATTTGCAGAGAATATTCCTGGTTCTGAAGAATATAACTCCAACCCTTTCTACACTGTCCTTCCTCCTTTCCCCCCTCCCCCCATACTCTCCAGTTCAGGCAGACTCCAGCTTCCTAAGCATCAAATCCCTAGTGTTGGCTTCCCCTGAGAAAACCTCAGCCTTTAATCTTCAAGGCAGGTGAGATCATTGGTAGCCTATTAGGCCTGCTCCCCCTGTAGGCCTGTTCTATTCTACTGGAGGGATAGCAGAGAGTTGGCCAGTCCTTGGGGCTGACATTACTTTCTCTTCTTTATTCTCCCTGGTCCATCAGGCATTTTGTTCAACAGCAAACTTGGCTCTGCCTCTGGTCACATGCAAAATCCAGATAATGCTGTCGGTGAGAGTCCATCCTGGAGGCTTTGCAAAGTAATATTAAGGCAATACTAAACAATTCCCATCAGCATGTCTGCCTCTGCATTGGCAGCATGAGTTTTATGCCAATCACTGATACATAATCCTACATGTCTAGTTTTAACCAAGCAGGTGGCCACAATCATACTGAATTACTCTGGTTCTTTATTTTAGCATGGAGGAAGGTAGCGAAGATCATGTAAAACATGTCAACTAGAGACACTTGTATTTTATGTGAGGATCTAATCAAAGGCACTATGGCAGAGGTACTCAGACATAAACACACAGACACACATACACACATGCAGTCAGATGCCTACACTAACCTGCTCAGATACATACTAGAGCACATTCAGACACTGAATTCAATGATACAGTAAAACAGTCTATTACACAGTCACTATGTAATAAAGTCCCTATTAACTCCATTCAGACATCCCATTTCTGAGATAGTCCACCTCTAACACATCTTAACTTATTTGGAGGGAGAAGGTCGCCTCAGTCTCTCACAATAGACAAATAAGAATCTCTTAATCTTCGAAAACATCCAGCTCTACAAACATCCAACCCCCGTGACAACATGTGTTATGGAAGAAAAGAAAAGTAAAAGATCTAATCCCCAGTTTCCTGCTTAATAAACATAGAAAGCAAATAGCAGAAACCTGTTTTCTTCCCGTTCATCACTCAAATGAAGTAGATGGAGCTACAATGAAAGCATTTTCACTCTCAAAATGCACGCATATAGCGTTCATTTCTTTTTCAATGTAGGGGAATTAATCTGAAGATCCAGCAAGGTTGTCAGGGGTATTGGGTCCTCTTTAAGCATGAGGTGGAATGGCAACCAAGGGTTTGGGTGTGACTCCTCCTTTTTAAAAAGAATGAATGTGGCTGCGTTTCCTTCCAGTGAAGGGGAAGGGAGTGGGGGAGAGAAACCTTTAAAATGATCAGGAACCAGGAGGAGAGGTGGAAGGAACCACCAAGCGAGGCTGGAGAATAAAGCGGCGGGGCGGAGGCATCTTCCCCTTTCAGGCTCCAGCACTCACGGAATCCCTACGGAATTCTCCGTGCCTGCTAGACATGCACAGAAGAAAGCCAATCGGGGCTCCCTTTGGCTATCAACGACATCAATAAGTGTTATTATTGCTAGCATTATTACTGTTTTCTGCATCTTGCACGGCAGGGCGCTGGTACTTACCCCCGTAGATGAGCACCACAGAAGCCAGGGGAAACAATCTGTTGAAAGCAGGCATCTTTCTCAGCTAGTAGCTTCTGGGACTCAACAGAGATTCCCTCGGTCAAGGGCTGCGCCCTCTCAGGTACTTTCGAGGAAATCCTTCGGGACGGACTGCCTGCCCCCAGGGGGCGACTTTCTGACTGGCAGAGGGTCCAGCGCCTGCACCTGGGAGGCTGGCTTTGTGAGTGATTGGAGCCAGACGGGGACTTTCGGCTGGAAGATGTCCGGGGTAGGGTAGGGGGCGCCACAGTGGGATGGAGCGCTCTGCAGCCTAGAGCTGGTTCCCCGCACCCGCGGCCGGGAATGCGCTCAGCACCACGGACAGTGCCTTTCCCGCCCACCCCAGCCTGAGCTCCCGTCGGCGCCCAGGGAAGCTCAACGGCGAAGCGAGGGGCCGCACGGGCTCTAGGCGGCTGTGCTGTCGAACAGGTCCATGTTTATCCACTGCTCTTCCCCTAGGAAGAGCTACGCCCGGACTGAAATCCACAGGGACCCCGGAGCTCCGGCTGCATCCACCCTGGCCGCTTTCTCCAGCTGGGCGTGTCCCCTCACACCCGAATCCACCCCCGTCTGAGCTGGAAGCAGTCCCCGGTTGGCCCGTGTACGCCGCTCCTCAGCTGCCCCCCGGGAGGTCTGGAGCGGCCGGGAAGGAGGCTTCTGTCACGCTGTCAATCTCAGAGATGGACTGGGAAAGGTGAACCCCTTCCCCCGAAGCTTGCTCCCAGATCCTGCGATTCCCTGGCCCCGTGAGCCAGAGATCAGTTGTGCCTCTCCTGGGCCCTGGGCCGTCTGTGCCAGGTCAGCCTTGACATGCGCAGGCAGCTCCCCGCCCGCTCCCCCACCGCCACCCCCTCGCGCACACACTCCCCACCCCCAAACAGGCGTGCCCCTCCCAGGACCCAGAACGGGGGGCGGAGCCCTGGGCGGTGCCTAGGCCTCTGGGTGTAGCGTTCTCTGCACGTCCTTTCCTGGTAGGTCTTTCTCAGGCGCCTCCAGCCTCCACGCCTCCCCAGCACCAGTGCACCTTCTATCAGATTCACACCCTCCAGGCAACCCCGCTCCTGATCCTTCACAGACATGTTTGCCTCCAGCTCCGGGAAGAGGAGGGCCAGATCCCTTTCAGCAATGATGTCATTTGCAGTGTGCACTGTATATGGATGGCTCTGGCTTCTCTTTCCCGACCCCATTCCCTCCTGTGCCCCAGGCTAGCCTTTGCCTGGCTGTCATCAATCGGTTCTAGACACACTGAATGCAGCAAAATAACTCCTGCTTAGGGGAAGTGGTGATGGACGGGGGCGCACCTGTTTCTACTTTCACCTCATTCCTCAGTGGAATGGGCTAAGAATCAACCCGACAGCGGTATTGCGATATGAGCAACAAATGGATCTCCTCTTTCTTTACCTTCTACTTTCCGTCCCCTCTCCTGCTCTAACCATTTCTAACCATGTTGTTATTTAATAGCAGAGTGAGGTTTGGCCCCTTCCAACTATTAGAGGCTCCCTAGTTCTTGCAGCTGTTTCAGTCTTCACCTCGCACCTCCCCCCCTCCCCGTCTCATTTCTGCACTAGAAATCTGAACGCTTGAATTCAATTATAAACTCGAATTGACATAACAGATTAGGAATGCTTGGAACTGAAATCAAAGATGAGTCTTCCTCTCCCTCCCAACCCCCCTGCTTTCTTTTCCCTGACTCCCTTTCCAAATGGGGGTGGCTTAACACTGATATTTCAAAAGGGAACCGCAGCACAACAGCTGGTTGTAAGTGAACCGGCTACAGGAAATTCTCACTCCTAACATATCACAGAGCAACAAAATGTACATAATAACATCGGATTCTCGTCTAAAGCAGGAACCAGTATGTTCTTTTGAAGACAGCTCTGGAAGGTGGGACATTAACGCAAACCTGGCCTCCTTTCTAATTCATGAATGCTACCAAAACAACAACATACCTGAGAAGAGAAGTCTACACCCTACCTAGAGAAGGACTTCCTATTAGCATTATTTTAGGGAGCGCTCTCTCTCTCTCTTTCATTACTGAGCCTGCATTGGGTTCTCAAGACAGTAAATCACACAGGACGTGAAGCCCATCTTTCTTCGTAGAGTAGCTGGTGGATTCCAGCCTCTGCAGAGGCTCAGCCTTTGGGTTAAACACAACGCCTTGTGGACAATGGTACCAGAACTTCAGATTCCATGAAATTATCCTAATGCTGTTTTCTAGAGGAAAATGCTCTTTAAAAAGCTCTACTTCCCCACTGCCACGTGAATAATTTTTTGGTTTGATGCTAAGATTCATAAATTTCTTTCCGTGTATTTCCTAGTCATTTCCGGTCCTAAAGACCCCAGTTGCCATCTCAGATTGAGAATCTCAAATTCTTAGTTTGCTGACATACTTCTCAAGGTGACAGCCAAAACAGGCATTGATGTTTCCTGTGTGGTCAGCTAGCATAAATCCGGGGGAAATATGGCCAGCTATGATCTTGAGGATGTGTTATTCAAATACTATTATATCCCATCTCACTTAGGAGATTCTGAACAATTAAACCTCTGAGTAGTATTCAGCTGATCTCTTGCAGTAATTTATACTTATATAGAAAAGTTTGGATGTCTTGCTTTGAAAATGAACATTTATTATTAAAATATTAGCCTCAATCAGTTATCATGTCCTGTTAATATTTCCATTTAACCTAGATTCAATCATCCAACATACATCTCTTAATTAGCTTTGCTTTATCTTTCAGTTTGGCAGTGCTTAATCTTAATACAGATTAAGGGACTGGGGGAGAGACCAATCAGAAAGTAAACAGAGAAACCTTTGGCATTTTAGAGACTTCCAATGACTTGACAGTAAACTAAAAATTAGATATTTTTTAAAACAACCCTCATTGCTATCAAATGAGAACAGAGAGCTGACACTCCAGTGCTTTTGAGGCTGTAAATCTCACGAAGGAGATTGTCTATCTTTCTCCTGTAGAGCTGTGGGTAGATTTCAACTACCAGAGAGTCACTGTCTCTGGGTTAACAGCACAACTCCTAAGGGACTTCTTTAATAATAGGTTCTCAATCCTAGATAAACATCCAATATAGCTTCCTATTTTCCATATCATGATACATTCTAGAAAATAAAAGGCGTTATGTACAAATTATACTTCTAATGATCCAAAGGCAAGAAGTGGGATCAATGGTTTACATTTACTTGGAAGTGGATTTTCAAGAATATATTGTAAACTATTCCAAAGTAGAATAAATTTTCTTTTGCTATAGTTAGCATTTACTATAAAAACAACAACAACCACCAAAACTCCACATAAAACAAACAAACATAAATCTTCTCTAGGTTAGAAATTTGAAATAAATTATTGATAAAGTTCTAAACATCTTTGCAATTCAATGATTTTGTTGGATGTCTTCCAAGGTTGAGATACAGAGTGACTGAAATATTTTCAGGCTGATAATTCTCAGTCATCATTACACATGACTTAATTTTACAAAATTTTTTTCTAAGAACTTGCTTTTATTAATTTTTCCTCCCTCCCCCTTTTAAAAAATTGTGATTTTAATGAAAGGTTACAGAAAGGTTGGGTTTTCATTCATTCATTGTGGCACATCTTCGTCCTCCTACTTTCCCCTTCTTCTTGTTCCAGACTGTTGCCATACACATAATTCCTAAGCATAGATTCCTTTGAGACAGTCTTTCCTCTCGTCTATTCCAATGCAATGCTCTTTATCCACTCTTTTTCTTGTCTCCCCTCAACCCCCATGTCAGTCCTCTATTATAACAGTGGTATTTTGCAGTATTTGTCCCTTTGTGACTGAGATATTTCGGTCAGCAAAATGTCTTCCAGGCTCACCCATGTTGTGTACTGTTTTACAAGGTCATTGTTTCTCAATGCTGCATAATACTCCATTGTATGAATGTAATAATTGTTTTTCAATGCTGCATAATACTCCATTGTATGAATGTACCACAGTTTTTCTATCCAGTCATTGTTGATGGGCAGTTGGGTTGCTTCCATATCTTTGCTATTGTCAATAAAGCAGTAAAAAACATGGGTGTGCCTACGTATGTTTGAGTCACAGCTCTAGTTTCTTTAGGATACATTCCCAGTCATGGGATAGCTGGGTCAAAAGACATTTCCAACTTTTTGAGAAACTACCTTCCATAGGTACCTCATGCTTGCTGCAGAGGGTCAAGGACTGGAGCCTTCAGTATGGATTGAGGCTCAATGTCAAGAAGACAAAGATTCTCACCACTTGACCAATTGGCAGCATCAGGATGGATGGTGAAGAGATTGAGATTGTTCAAAACTTTAGTCTGCTTGGCTCTACAGTCAACACTCTTGGCACCAGTAGCCAGAAAATAAAAAAAAAAGTATTGTGATGGGAAAGTTTGTTGTTAGGGACCTCTCCAGGGTACTGAAGAGCAATGGTGTCCCTCTGGAGACCAAGGTGCATCTGATACAGGCTATGGTCTTTGCAATCACTTGTTATGCATCAGAGAGTTGGACAATGACTAGGAAGGATAGAAGGAGAATTGATGCTTTTGAGCTGTGGTGCTGGAGAAGCGTATTGAATGTACCCTGGACTGCCAAGAAAACAAACAGATTCATCCTGGAAAGGATTAAACCAGGCTGCTCCTTGGAGGCAAGGATTCTAGGGTTTTGTCTGACATACTTTGGACATCTTGTAAGGAGAGACAAGTCCTTGGAGGGGGACATCATGCTTGGGAGGGTGGAGGGACGGCGAAAGAGGGGAAGACCCTCTATGAGGTGGATTGATTCAGTGACTGGGGTAATAGGGATGGGTATGTCAGGGGCAGTGCAATTGGCACAGGATAGAGCTGGGTTTAGGGCTGTTGTACATAGGGTCGCTATGAGTCTCAAGCAACTCAACAGCACATAACAACAACCACCACCTTCCATAGACTTTGCTTTCCTTGATATGTATTTTATGTTGATGCCTAATAATTTCCTCATTCTTTTCTGAATGGTTAGTAGCCTCATTTTAAACAGTCATTTTGAA